TGTGGACCAGCTCCAACGGCTTTTTGCTCCTGCCAGCCACACTATGGAAGGGGAAACGGGTGAACTTTGAAAGGAGGCAAATTTCACAGTTATCATTGGGTGGTTGTCCGTTCAGCTTCAAGCCCTTAACGGCTCCATCCTTCTCCAGCTGCTTCAGCAAAGGCATTGCCACATGCCCCAAACGTCGGTGTGTCGTTGCTCAATCCATCTCCCGAGATCTGGCCGACACTTTCACACCAACCCCTCCAACGGCGTTGCACTCCCCCTGGGATGCAGACCCCTCTCCAGCCTGCCCCCCACCGTGCCACGCCAGCGCCGGCAGCTGCCACATAGATCTGTACACGTCCTTGCTCTCGTGCAGATCCCAAAGCACCCGATTGCCAAGCTTACGGAGGGAGATAAGGTTGGCCTTCCGGTCGGGGACGAGGAGAACGTCGTGCAGCACCACCGGCTTGCCATCCGCTCCCTTAAACGCAGCTCGTCCCGCACCAGCCACCTTCAACATGTGTCCAGAGGCAGAGCACACCTCATTAATCGGTGCAGCGCGTACGCCGTCCAGCAGGTCCTTGCGAGGCGTCATTGTCCAAGCAGGGCCTGTGTCCAACACCCAATAGTCCAAGGGGTGCAGCTCTGCTCCAACCTTAGCAGATGCGTCTCCTTGCTCCCCCTTGTCTCCCACATGGAAGAATTGGCCCGCGGTGCGCTCCTTCTTCTTCTCCGCACCGCCGTTGCCCTTCGGGTTGTTGTCGGACGAATCAGCGACCATGTTGGCGCCGTTTTTCTGGTTCCTCCGCGCGCCGCCATCCTGGTGACGATTCTGGGGGGTCCATCCATCGGGTTTCTTATAGCACAAAAACCAGGGGTGCCCTTCCTTCTCACAATACCAGCAACTCCCTTTCATTTTGCCACCAGCACCCGACTTGCCCCCACGTCCAGATTTCGCACCGCGACCCCAACCGGTACCTCCTTGTTGGTCGTTGGAGTCGTCGTCTTTCTTTGCACCGCGTCCAGCACCACCGAAGCCACGTCCTTTGCCACGTTGGCTCCCTTGCATCCCGTAGCCGCTGCTGCCGTCGTCTCCACCCCTCAGTTGGCGGCGACGGAAGTCCTCCTCCAGAATCTTCGTCCGCACCCACTCGAGCCTCCACAAGCTCTGGTTCTGCGGCAGGCTCAATCCGCTCGTGAATTGAAGCCACGATTCCGGCAGCAGCGAGAGCATCTTCAGGCACTTGGTCTGCTCCGGGTAGGTGATTCCCGCGGTCACCAACTTCGCGTAGAGGTCGCGCAATTTGTCCAAGACAGGTTGTACCGGCTCTCCCTCGCTCTGGCGCAACGCGGACAGCTCCCTCTCCAGCATCAATGTTGCAACAACGGAGGTCGGGGCGTGCAGCTCCTTCAACACGGTCCACGCCTTCGGACCGCACTCAACCTCCGGCAGCAGGTGCATGACGTGGTGACGCTGGTTCAGCTCCAAACTCTGCGACATCAAGTAGTAGCCAGCCAATGCGCGCTCGTCCCAATCTTCCTGAAGGGCGGGGTCACTCGGTCTAGGCTCCTCCCCAATCATTAGTTTCAGCAAACTGATCTGACGGAAATAAAGTTGCATTTTCCAGGCCCAATCATCATAACCCTCACCATTGAACTTCTCGACGGTGAAGTTTTTCAGCACCTCCTTGATCAGCGAGCCCTGGCTTGTTCGCGCTCCCCTTGGCGCAGAAACACCAGAATCTTGGCTGCCGCTACGATCTTGGGCTGAAGATTCACCAGCTACCGCCGAGGTGTTCCCCGTCATAGCTACCTATAACGAGGATCACTAAAACGCAGCTCTGATACCAGCTTGTTGGTGTAAGGGCCTAATAAACTCAAGCTATTAAGACTTTAGCACACTTAAAACCTCTCCTCGGGGTCACCTCCAAGGGTCCTTGGGTGCCTGGTACAAGACCAGCCCCTATCCTCGGGTCCGAGTTTGTAGAGAGAGGGATCAAGAGGGACTTAGTCAAAACAGCAAGAGTACCTTGAACGTCACGCAGCGTATCGTGCAGACCGTCGATCGGATTAAGCTGAGAATTTCCTATATCGAAGCTCACTCTAAGAGCTTTAAAATAAGCCAAGTTGCCTTGCGAAAAGTTCTGCCATTATGAAGTTATGGCTCGGACAGCGTTAGCCTAGCGTTGGAGTGCTAGCGTACTAGCGTTGACTCGGGTAGCATTCCGCTGTCGCACCGCGTAGAAACGAATTTCCAGGAAGGGAGGAATTCGCTTGAATCAATTTCACTATATTCAGGTACCAACAGAGAAGGAATAAATAGCTCTAGCTAGCAAGGACCTTGGGAATCAACCTGGGAACAACCAGGGATGATCCCAAATAATTCCAAGCAACAGAACCAACCTGGCTGGACAAAATAGCAGGTGGTAGGTTGGTGAACAACCTCTGGTTCTGTTTTTCCAACCTGGGAAAACAACAACCAGGTTTAGGTCCTAAAAACAGAACCTGTTTTGTCTTTGCCCAACCAGCCAAATGCTGGTTCTGCTGGTTTTCCCTGGCCCTGTAGCATGCAGATACAGACAAACAACATCCAACCTTCACCTAAATTGTACCCCTATAGTGCCTGCCCTGCTACACTATAGTCAACCAAACAAAACAGTACAATTTCGAGTTGGATAGAACTGAATCTGCGCAATCAAGTAAGCCGAACCACAAAGCTTCCATCTTGGGTTCCTTTGCGAGCTTGTCCTTTCTTCTTCTACTGTTCATAGCGCGTACAATGTTGTGCCGAAGCGCATAATGCGCGAGTACCTGCAAATGCTTCAAGCGAAAATTGCGAAAGCAAACAAACACACGAACATTCCATTCAAACCCAGATGCATTCGCACACGCATACTCGTACAAACAGACGGCAGGATGTCGTGCAATGTGAATTTGCACACAACACTTCTCCCCAAGCTCCTTGATGAACTTCTCCTGGTGCAGCTTCAACCACCTGTGATCCAGATCTCTCTCCACGTGCATCCCGAGGTAGTACTTTACCTCCCCAAGGTTCTTGCACTTGAAGTTCTCCATCAGCTGCTGCTGCACCTTCTGGATCTCCTTCATGCTGCTGCTAAAGAGAAGAATGTCGTCCACATAGACCAGAAACAGCACCACCTTCTCCCCCTCCCCCTTGAGAAAGAGGCTCTCATCACAGCTGCTGGTCCTGAATCCCATCTCCTCTAAAACAGCTGCCAACTTCTGGTACCAGCAGCGTGGCGCCTGCTTCAAGCCGTAGATGGACTTTTTCAGCTTGCACACCCTGCCCGTACCATCCTCATACCCAGGTGGCTGCGCCATGAACACCTCCTCCTCTAAACTCCCGTTGAGGAATGCCGTTGATATGTCCATCTGGATAATGAACTTCCCACTAACGGCTGCATCTGCCAACAAGACACGAAGGGTAGGGGGTTTGGCAGTGGGAGCAAAGATCTCATTGAAGTCCCGCTTCTCCTTCTGCATAAACCCCTTAGCCACCAACCTACTCTTGTAGATGGTGACCTGCCCCTTGTCGTCAGTCTTGATCCTTAGCACCCACTTGCATTGCACCGCTTTCTTTCCCTCAGGCAGCACCACTAGTTCCCAAGTCCCATTCTCCAGCAGGCTCTGGTACTCAGCATCCCTAGAAGCTAGCCATTTGTCCCTATCTGGTCCAGCTAATGCTTCTCCATGCTAGCTGGTTCCTCTGGTGCAGGGGCAAGAAAACAGTACGCAGGTTGATCCTCCTCATCCGGGTCATAGCCATGCGGTAGAATCAGCAATGCCTTCTCGGTCCCAAGCTGCTGCTCAGCTACATCAGCTCCTGCAGTCAGCTTCTTAGTAGCCATACGGGTACGTCCTGGCCTGGAGACGGGTGTCTCCCATCCCTTCATAACGACACCCTTCGGCTTCTTAGTTTTCCCCTGCTGCTGCTCTTTCCCCTCAGATCCAGCAGCTCCACTAGTGCCAGTCTCCACATCATTTTCTCCACCAGCAGGTGCCTCCTGTACCTTCTTTCCATCACCACCCTCTGCAGCTGCCTCCTCTCTCTCCTCTCACACACTAGGAGTCAGGTCCAGCTGCATGGTGATCTGCTCCATTTGCTGGGACACCCTGGCCTCCGGCTGTTTCTCCCAGCTCCCATACATCATGCCCTCAACAAACTTCACATCCCTGCTGTCAAACAACACACCCTTGGAAGGTTCCCACAGCAGCCATCCCTTGCTCTCAGCAGCCAGCCCCAAATGCACACACCAGATTGCACTCGCCCCCAACTTACTGCGGTAGGTCTTAGGGACGTGGGCGACTGCCATGCAACCGAACACCCTCAGCATGTCCACCGGCGGCTTCCTCCCAAGCCACCTCTCCAACGGCACCCACGAGTCATCCCCAACCTTTGTGAGTACCCTGTTCCTAGCGACGGTAGCGTGCCGAACAGCATGGGGCCACATCAAGTTGCCCAGCCCAGATTCTATGAGCAGCGCCCTAGCTGTCTCCAGAATTGTCCGGTTTGCCCGTTCTGCTACACCGTTGGACTGTGGGGTGTAAGCCGTGGTCAGCTCCCTCTGGATGCCCTGCTTCTTGAGCCAGGCCGTCATCTCAGCTCCAAGGAACTCACCACCCCGATCTGTCCTAATCCGCTTCACCACACACTCCGCTTGCTTCTCCACTAACGGCAGCCAATCGTCTCGAATCGTGGAGGCGGCGTGATCTTTCTGCTTCAGCGGATACGCCCACATTAGCCTGCTCCAGTCATCCACTATGGTTAGGAAGTACCGCTCCCCCTTGTGCCCTTGCACCGGCAGCGGCCCCACCAAGTCAATGTGGACCAGCTCCAACGGCTTTTTGCTCCTGCCAGCCACACTATGGAAGGGAAAACGGGTGAACTTTGAAAGGAGGCAAATTTCACAGTTATCATTGGGTGGTTGTCCGTTCAGCTTCAAGCCCTTAACGGCTCCATCCTTCTCCAGCTGCTTCAGCAAAGGCATTGCCACATGCCCCAAACGTCGGTGTGCAGTTGCCCAATCCGTCTCCCCAGATCTGGCCGACACTTTCACACCAACCCCTCCAACGGCGTTGCACTCCCCCTGGGATGCAGACCCCTCTCCAGCCTGCCCCCCACCGTGCCACGCCAGCGCTGGCAGCTGCCACATAGATCTGTAGAGCGGTGATAGGGCCGGTAGAGGCGGCGACGTGGCCGCTAGGGGAGGGCAACGGGGCCGCAGGTGACGGTGGCGGGGCCGCAGGTGGCGGCTGTGTGGCCGCAGGTGGCGGCGACGGGGCCGCAGGTGGCGGCGACAGGGCCGCAGGTGGCGGCGACGGGGCCGCAGGTGGGGGCGACGGGGCCGCAGGTGGCGGCGACGGGGCCGCTGGTGGCGGCGACGGGGCCGCAGGTGACGGCTACGGGGCAGCAGGTGGGGGCGACGGGGCCGCAAGTGGCGGCGACAGGGTCGCAGAGGGGCCGCAAGGGGCCTAGACGGGTCCGAAGAGGGGCCGCAAGGGGCCTAGATGGGTCCGAAGAGGGGCCGCAAGGGGCCTAAACGGGGCGGTGACGGGGCCGTAAGGGGCCGGAAAGGGCGCCGCGAGGGGCCGAAAGGGGGCCGCGCGAGGGCCGTAAGGGGCCGTAAAGGCAGCACGAGGGGCCTAAGGGGCCGTAAGGGCGGCGCGAGGGGCCGTAGAGGGCGGCGCGAGAGGCCGGAAGGGCGGCGTAAGGGGCCGCGAGAGGGGCCACTAAATGCGGCGCGAAGATAAGGAGGGCACACAGAGCGCGACTCAGGCAGGAGTGAAGCGCGCTCCGGGCAGGAAAAAAAAATCGTGGTGGGCCCTAGGTAGTGTTCCCACTAGGGAACCTGCTCGATACCATGATAAGAAACGAGGAATGAATGCATTGAGCAGAAAGAGGAGTACAAGTAGCAAACCCTAAAGTGTTGTACCCCATATGAACTGCCCCAATACTGTTGGTGTAAGGGCCTAATAAACTCAAGCTATTAAGACTTTATCACACTTAAAACCTCTCCTCGGGGTCACCTCCAAGGGTCCTTGGGTGCCTGGTACAAGACCAGCCCCTATCCTCGGGTCCGAGTTTGTAGAGAGAGGGATCAAGAGGGACTTAGTCAAAACAGCAAGTACCTTGAACGTCGCGCAGCGTATCGTGCAGACCGTCGATCGGATTAAGCTGAGAATTTCCTATATCGAAGCTCACTCTAAGAGCTTTAAAATAAGCCAAGTTGCCTCGCGAAAAGTTCTGCCATTACGAAGTTATGGCTCGGACAGCGTTAGCCTAGCGTTGGAGTGCTAGCGTACTAGCGTTGACTCGGGTAGCATTTCGCCGTCGCACCGTGTAGAAAAGAAATTCCAGCAAGGAAGGAATTCGCTTGAATCAATTTCACTATATTCAGGTACAAACAGAGAAGGAATAAATAGCTCTAGCTAGCAAGGACCTTGGGAATCAACCTGGGAACAACCAGGGATGATCCCAAATAATTCCAAGCAACAGAACCAACCTGGCTGAACAAAATAGCAGGTGATAGGTTGGTGAACAACCTCTGGTTCTGTTTTTTCCAACCTGGGAAAACAACAACCAGGTTCAGGTCCTAAAAACAGAACCTGTTTTGTCTTTGCCCAACCAGCCAAATGCTGGTTCCGCTGGTTTCCCCTGGCCCTGTAGCATGCAGATACAGACAAACAACATCCAACCTTCACCTAAATTGTACCCCTATAGTGCCTGCCCTGCTACACTATAGTCAACCAAACAAAACAGTACAATTTCGAGTTGGATAGAACTGAATCTGCGCAATCAAGTAAGTTGAACCGCAAAGCTTCCATCTTGGGTTCCTTTGCGAGCTCGTCCTTTCTGCTTGTACTGTTCATAGCGCGTACAATGTTATGCCGAAGCGCACATTTTTGCGAGTACCTGCAAATGCTTCAAGCGAAAATTGCGAAAGCAAACAAACACACAAACATACCATTCACACGCAAATGCATTCGCACACGCATACTCGTACAAACAGACGGCAGGATGTCGTGCAATGTGAATTTGCACCCAACACACTCCCCCTCAGCCTGCCGGCTGCATCCCCATCATTCCATACTAGTTCATGCTCATTCCACTCATGCGCACACAACGCCAATGAGACTCATCCGCAAGCCTCTTGGTGAGGAAGTCTGCTGGCTGCTGGTGAGTCTTGATGTAGATTGGATTCACCGTCCCCCTCTTCACCTCCTTACGCAGCCAGTGCCACTTGATACGCATGTGCTTATTCAGCCCATGAAGCACAGCGTTCCTGGCCATCCCAAGAGCTCCCTTGCTATCACAAAAGAGCGGCGTAGCAACCTTTTGCTCCTGGCCAATCTCCTCCAACAGCCTCCTCAGCCAAATCACCTCCTTCACCCCATGGAACATCGCCATGTACTCTGATTCCACGGAAGAGAGTGCTGTCTCCGTCTGCTTCTTTGACCTCCAACTAACCGGTCCTCCCCCAACTACGCAGATGTATCCTCCCACAGATGAGGAATCCTCCTTCTCAGAGGCCCACGTAGCGTCAGTAAAGCAAGTGAGAAAAAGCTTGCCTTCTCCAAGCCTCTCCCCCTTCTCTTTCAGCACCTCAACCCCTTTCTGCTTCACCTGTGCAGATGCGGAGTATTGAACTCCAATGCTTGGGTGAGAGTTCAGATACTTCACCACACGCTCAGCTGCATCCACCTGCTCCTCTGATGGATTCTGCACTACCCTAGCCAGCTGCCCAACCGAGAAAGAGATGTCGGGTCTCGTGTGAACTGCTGCATACAAGAGGCTGCCCACCAAGGACTGAAATTGCTGCTGCTCCTCGGCTTCAACCCCTTCATCCTCTGCAGCTTTCACAAGCCTGAATTCTGCTGGCAGGGGAGTTGCAACCTTGCGCTCATTCTCAATTCCGTACTTCTCCCCAAGCTCCTTGATGAACTTCTCCTGGTGCAGCTTCAACCACCTGTGATCCAGATCCCTCTCCACGTGCATCCCGAGGTAGTACTTTACCTCCCCAAGGTTCTTGCACTTGAAGTTCTCCATCAGCTGCTGCTGCACCTTCTGGATCTCCTTCATGCTGCTGCTAAAGAGAAGAATGTCGTCCACATAGACCAGAAACAGCACCAGCTTCTCCCCCTCCCCCTTGAGAAAGAGGCTCTCATCACAGCTGCTGGTCCTGAATCCCATCTCCTCTAAAACAGCTGCCAACTTCTGGTACCAGCAGCGTGGCGCCTGCTTCAAGCCGTAGATGGACTTTTTCAGCTTGCACACCCTGCCCGTACCATCCTCATACCCAGGTGGCTGCGTCATGAACACCTCCTCCTCTAAAATCCCGTTGAGAAATGCCGTTGATATGTCCATCTGGATAATGAACTTCCCACTAACGGCTGCATCTGCCAACAAGACACGAAGGGTAGGGGGTTTGGCAGTGGGAGCAAAGATCTCATTGAAGTCCCGCTTCTCCTTCTGCATAAACCCCTTAGCCACCAACCTACTCTTGTAGATGGTGACCTGCCCCTTGTCGTCAGTCTTGATCCTTAGCACCCACTTGCATTGTACCGCTTTCTTTCCCTCAGGCAGCACCACTAGTTCCCAAGTCCCATTCTCCAGCAGGCTCTGGTATTCAGCATCCCTGGAAGCTAGCCATTTGTCCCTATCTGGTCCAGCTAATGCCTCCTCCATGCTAGCTGGTTCCTCTGGTGCAGGGGCAAGAAAACAGTACGCAGGCTCATCCTCCTCATCCGGGTCATAGCCATGTGGTAGAATCAGCAATGCCTCCTCGGTCCCAAGCTGCTGCTCCGCTACATCAGCTCCTGCAGTCAGCTTCTTAGTAGCCATACGGGTACGTCCTGGCCTGGAGACGGGTGTCTCCCATCCCTTCATAATAACACCCTTCGGCTTCTTAGTTTTCCCCTGCTGCTGCTCTCCTCCCTCGGATCCAGCAGCTCCACTAGTGCTACCGCTAATCTCCACACCATCACCTCCACCAGCAGGTGCCTCCTGCACCTTCTCTTTATCACCACCCTCTGCAGCTGCCTCCTCTCCCTCCTCCCACACACTAGGAGTCAGGTCCAGCTGCATGGTGATCTGCTCCATCTGCTGGGACACCCTGGCCTCCGGCTGTTTCTCCCAGCTCCCATACATCATGCCCTCAACAAACTTCACATCCCTGCTGTCAAACAACACACCCTTGGAAGGCTCCCACAGCAGCCATCCCTTGCTCTCAGCAGCCAGCCCCAAATGCACACACCAGATTGCACTCGCCCCCAACTTACTGCGGTAGGTCTTGGGAACGTGGGCGACTGCCATGCAACCGAACACCCTCAGCATGTCCACCGGCGGCTTCCTCCCAAGCCACCTCTCCAACGGCACCCACGAGTCATCCCCAACCTTTGTGAGTACCCTGTTCCTAGCGACGGTAGCGTGCCGAACAGCATGGGGCCACATCAAGTTGCCCAGCCCAGATTCTATGAGCAGCGCCCTAGCTGTCTCCAGAATTGTCCGGTTCGCCCGTTCTGCTACACCGTTGGACTGTGGGGTGTAAGCCGTGGTCAGCTCCCTCTGGATGCCCTGCTTCTTGAGCCAGGCCGTCATGTCAGTTCCAAGGAACTCACCACCCCGATCTGTCCTAATCCGCTTCACCACACACTCCGCTTGCTTCTCCACGAATGGCAGCCAATCTTCCCGTATCGTAGAGGCGGCATGGTCCTTCTGCTTCAGCGGATATGCCCACATAAGCCTGCTCCAATCATCCACAATGGTCAGGAAGTACCGCTCCCCCTTGTGTCCCTGAACCGGCAGCGGCCCCACCAAGTCCATGTGGACCAGCTCCAACGGCTTTTTGCTCCTGCCAGCCACACTATGGAAGGGGAAACGGGTGAACTTTGAAAGGAGGCAAATTTCACAGTTATCATCGGGTGGTTGTCCGTTCAGCTTTAAGCCCTTAACGGCTCCATCCTTCTCCAGCTGCTTCAGCAAAGGCATTGCCACATGCCCCAAACGTCGGTGTGCAGTTGCCCAATCTGTCTCCCCAGATCTGGCCGACACTTTCACACCAACCCCTCCAACGGCGTTGCACTCCCCCTGGGATGCAGACCCCTCTCTAGCCTGCCCCCCACCGTGCCACGCCAGCGCCGGCAGCTGCCACATAGATCTGTACACGTCCTTGCTTTCGTGCAGATCCCAAAGCACCCGATTGCCCAGCTTCCCCTTATAAGTGCGAGCCCCATCCGTGTTGGTGTTCACCCCAGCCTTGCCAAGCTTACGGAGGGAGATGAGGTTGGCCTTCAGGTCGGGGACGAGGAGAACGTCGTGCAGCACCACCGGCTTGCCATCCGCTCCCTTAAATGCAGCTCGTCCCGCACCAGCCACCTTCAACATGTGTCCAGAGGCAGAGCACACCTCATTAATCGGTGCAGCGCGTACGTCGTCCAGCAGGTCCTTGCGCGGCGTCATTGTCCAAGCAGCGCCTG